TGTAACGGATACGCTAGCAGATTATTATACCGTAGTAATTTGTCCTCAAAAGTAAAAGAAGCAATGGCATCTTTTTTATTGTTTCCCTTCTTAGATCTATCGCACTTCCTGTTAACGATGTATATCAATATTATGCAAAAAATTACAAATAATTTGAAAACGTTTGAAAAATTGTCCAGTATTCATAATAATTCTAGAACAAAATTTAATGCGAGCACTTTTAAATTTAGATGCTTTCCTATTCCGAAGGAAAATGTACAATTAATTAATAAAATAGTTAATCTTGCAGATCTTATTGAGAAGATTGGCCTTCTCTCCAATGACCGACTCGGGCGGGAGCACCTCTCGCTCCAAAATTAGAAACTCGCATCTCTTCAAACGCCCTTCTTAGTTACTCATACAAGGTCCATCGTTAAAAGCAAGCGCGACCAGCCCTGTACATATACAGCGAACTCCACGACGCGGACCTGCAGCGCAGCTGAAAATATATGCAGGACCAAGGGGGTTAATCGCAATCGTCGTGAGAATGGTATGTCGTTCGTTACGAACTGGTCGAGACAGAAAAGGGCATGGGCTAGGGTCGCCCAAGGCTGAACGATTTTTCCAAACGAGCATCGAGAGCGTGTCTCTCTCTCTCTCCCCTCCCTCCCCCCGTCCTTCTCTCTCTCTCTCTCTTTCTCACCGTGGTCGAAACAGGACCAACTACTACTCGGTAGCGCCAAAAGCGTTACAAAGCGCCGTTGCGTGCCGTTGTCAGAATTTCTCTCTTATTAGGACTTGCCAATAACGGGCGCACGCACACCGTGGGAAGTTTCACTTCCGAAATGGATGTCGGCTACCGCCTTACGCGACTCACTACCGTCGCTTTTCGATCGCTTTTAAGGTGACGGCGCTAATTACTTCCCGAGAGCGACGCGAAAGTTCCCAGGTCGGGTTGTAGGTTGTAGTCGCCGTGAAAAATCCAGGCGCTTTCGTTGTGATATTAATTGCCCGGTTTCTCATTGACGTTTTTAACCGTCGCCGGGAACAAGCTCTTATCTCCATTGTCGTCGGAAACGGACAACGTTGCTCAATTTTGCATTACATCGTCGAAACGGAACAGTTATTCCGTTCATAATTAAACGTCGCTCGCGACTTCTGGTTGCGATAACTAAATGACGTTTTCGCGTTCTCGTTCGAAATTAGCGCTACGTATCGGTACGGTCATACCTGTTGCGATATGCTAACGGAAAATATGTAGAAGAAGTTGACAATTTCATCATATACATGAAAAGTAACAATTAATATTATTAATATTAACAACGAATAATATTTGCATACTTAATGATCAGTTATTTTCGTAAGAATCTATTTTCATAAATAACAGTTCAAAGTAATAACGAAATAGTTTTCTTACAAAATGGTCTTTTATATAAACAATATCTTTATCTTGGAATCTTTTATAGAACAATCTAACAGCTTTCTTATCAAAATAGGAAGAATTACAAAAATAATAATAAAATAAAATAAAACCGTTAAGGCAGAAATAACATCATTTATAAATCGATCGTAAAGCACCAGGCAATCAGCGTGAATCGACGATATCTGTTTTAAGCAATTTTTTGAATTGTTGACCACGGGTGAGTGAGGCATATTCACCAGTGTAAGAGAAGGACAGCGCGCGTCATTATTTACCGTCCATTCGCCTCTATTGTCCGTGCGCTTATCGCTATTGTGCGGTTTTATCATTCGTTTATTACGCGAGATTAACAAAAACACATATTGCCTACTTCCCTTCGGTATCTTATTTACAACGCGAGTAAATCATTCGCTTTAAATAAAGAATGAAGCCTGTGCCTAACAATAAGCAACAAAGGAGCTCCGCGGGCATACGTTGATCTTTGCATTCGCGAGTACCAACGCGTCCTTCAAGTTTTCGATTTTCTCGTTAACGAGAAAGACCAGCCTACGAGCGTCGTTTGATTCTCAAACGCGAAACAACGCGGGGAAAGGTTTGCTTAGTTAACGTCGTTGTGTAAGAGCGATACATGTAAGCGCGATGTGTCACGTATCCGTTCGCGAATCACGTAACGATCGTAAATAAGTCGTCAGAAACAGCGAATGCCCGTGTATGGAAGGCGCTGTGCGAATTGCACGGCGGTGTACGTACGTCAAACGACAATGATCCGGAGGCCGGGCGAATCGGAAATAACGCTTCGCGTTGTGTGCACGCGCACGGTCACGTGCGCGCGCGCGCGCGCTCACTCGACACGGTGATAAGCCTCGGTCTTTTGCTCAATATCGCATTAAGATTAAGATCTTTCGCTAGATTAACCTTGCGCGATTATAGCTTCATTAGGAAGAACATAAAGCCGCCTAAGGTGCGGCGCTTCTACAAACGTCACGTTACGAAGATATTACTGAGAACAGGTGTGCTGCATACCTGCAATTCTTTAATTTGCAATTTTTTTATTTTACAATTTATCGTTATTTTATAATTTTACTATTTTTATTTATTAAAACTGACATAAAAATTTTATTCTAATTTCGAGATCAATTTCTACAAGTTTGTCTTTGACAGGAAATGTATTCGATAGTTAGATGAAGAGCGTTTTCCGTTGACCAATTAACATCCAGACTTTTATCCTTTAATTAATCATGTATAAAAAATAAAAAATTGTTGACCTCCAAATAAAGATTGTCGCAGCTAATGGATTATATCTTCGGCCTCTCGCGTTTCGTATGACTTCAACATTTTAACATTAGCTGGACGCAAATATCAACATTCAATCAATAAGGCAAAAAGCACGTGACAGATCTTAATTGCATAATTAATCTCAATCAATCATAGGGATGTGTCAATAGAAGCACAATAAAAAATAACGGAGATACATGTCTTACGTCAAAGTGTGTCAATTCGGAGCGTCCACGAGAGGGGATAATAACCAAAAGAGATCCCCGGAAATCTCGATCTCTGAAAAAAATTTTCTCCCCGAGATGATTCCGCAAAAGTCGCCCGCGACACGAGTCGTCGCCAGCGTACACGGCGAAATTCTCGAAAAGCAAACCGCGGCTCTCGAGGGAAGAAAGCGAGTTCGAAGACACCGGCCGGAGGACGGCGAGTTTAGAGCGAGCTGACGCGACGCGGGGGGCGGCGAGGGGGCCAGAGGGGGCGAGCAGCAGCAGCAGCAGCGCGAAAGAAGAAGCGGGGACGGGAACACGTAGGTGCGGGGTAGGTAGGTAGGTAAGCGGAGCGCGAGGAGGCGCGGGGGAAGGGAAAGGAGGGGACGCTGGAATGGAATGCGCGGCGCCTAGGGCTCGTCGGATTCCAGGGCCACACGTGCCCTTCACTCCCTGCGCGCCCGCGCGCGCCACAGGCAGGCACCGAGCGGAGCCAATAAACTTCGCCTCCAACTGGCGGCCGCGGTCGACCACCATAGAGCTCATTCATGGGGACCTCCTACCACGCCGTGCCCGCGCGGGCCGAGCCAGGTCGGTGCGGGTGCGGGCTCGGCTCCGCGCCTCCTCCGCCTCCTCGCTTCAATCTTCAATCGCTCGCGATCCGCGCGGCGCGTCGACGTAACGCGCGGACGCGGACGGGGTACTTACTGTCGCGATTAGAACGAGGATTTTATTGAGATTGAACGCGACAATTCGCACTTACTTGCTCTGCCCTGCTTTGTCGCTGATAGAATTTGAACGGCGAGCGGCGGAACGGGGAAAGATGGCGGCGAGGGAGATGCGTGGAAGTTACGTGCGGCAGAATTCCAATCTTCTTCCCTCTCCTTCTCTTTACGCGCTTCTCCGATCGAGCGAGCATTTCGGAATGCGTGGCGAACGAAACGCGACGGGCCGAGAAAGTTTTTAACCCGTATATACGCATATCACTAATCTCGGCTTCCTCTCGTAGAGAACTACGTCTAAATTTTTACGCGACGCCCCGGCGACTGCGCGTTGCTGCCATCTAACACGGAATTCGGACTTAAGTGTACTCAGCCGGTATCCTCGCCATCGGTAACAAAGATGCTCGAAAGATATCTACCGCAGAATTAGAAAAAAAATAATTCGAACAATATTTCGTAGATATTGAATTTTTCGTTTAATACGTTTGATAGTTTCTTCGGTTCTCTCTCTAGATAAAAATTTTATCCTGTTCTTATTACATTAACGATTAGATTGAGTTAGGTTGTTCATCGATACAAACCTGTTGCTTATCTCTTATAAGAAAAAAAAAACAGGATTGTCTCTTACAAGCGTAAAATTACTTTTATTGGTGCCATTTAGATTCGCCCGGTATTCCTCTAATATAACGTTCGTACTTTATTATACATTATACAAAACTGGTTACTAATTAAAATAAATTCCGATACGATATAAATACCACGACTCCTGTAATCGAAATGCGAAGCGGGATGCGATCTCATTTCGCTTTTTAAATTTCAAACTCGTTTTCTATTCACGGATTATATTATAAAAATAATGTAATATATGTGTGCGAGCGTGTAATATCTGCGATATTTAAAATCCGCTTTGCCAACCTTGTATTTAACCTTCTTGACTCGCGTAATCAATTGAATAGACGAGATTGATCTAAGCTAGTAATACAGCCTTTATTAAACATTGTTAGTAGAGCGCGTCATCGCGTAACCGGGCAACACATTATTTTCTTTTTAAAAGCTCTTTTTAAATTAACATATCTTTTAATCGATAATTAAATTTAGTCAGTATGAAATCATCTGTCGCGATATGAAATATTTTGACGGTTTTATATCGAATCAACAATTAACGTTTAATAAAAATGTACTAGAATCAATAAAAATGCCAATATCTGTCGAACGTGTACTTTATCAGATATTTGGACCTATAGAGGGTATTATTCAGATCTTGTATAAATATTCTGTTATTTGGCGTATCTAATTATGCATTCCTTGCATTCTTGTAATTGTGCAATCCAATATTTACGTTACAAGCTACGTATCCTGTTTTCGGTATGTACGTGTTTGTATTATCTCTGATCTTACCTTGCATTTTCAAAAGTTGCTGATGCACTACTACCTATTGCTCCGAAGCCCACACCAACCGCAAGACCCTCAGGAATATTGTGCACCTAATTATAAAAGTCGAACGATTATATATATACATATCTATATATTATACTTAACTTCTAACTATATAGAGGGGTAAAAACCAGAGTGGTGTAAGTCAAATTTTTTTAAATTTTTTCTCGTGTGCTTAGATGCAATTTCTACAATATATAAATTGAATCTAAGCACACGAAAAAAATTTTTAAAAAATTTGACTTACACCACTCTGGTTTTTACTTTTTACCCCTCCATATATAAAACGTAAAATAGATCTAAGCAAGTGTATATAGTTCGCATGATTATTTACTATCTCGTAGAAATATACCGTAATTGCGACAACTAGCAGCAATATCCTCCGCCACTGGTTATTCTTCGCTTCATTATTAGGATCCTCGTAAACCGTTCCGATTTCCGCTGACTCCGATGATCTGTTTATATTCGTGATTTGTCGGCGTCTACTATTCTGTTCGTAGAAGCCTGAAAAATCAAACATTCACAACAACATTTACCACATCCCGCCAGCGCAAAATTTTCAAAAACTGAGCCACGAGCACAGGGTCACCTCATGCAAATGCAATTTGTTTAAGATGAAGGACTAAGAGAAGGAAATCTTCACGCACGTGATACTTTCGATTAGAATTTGTTGCAGCTGGATTCGTTTAGGCAGGATTAATAAGATCAGTTTTTTTTTAAAGCTCCATAGAACTTTCCACACAGATCTAAAATGTTTATTTTTTATTGGTTTTATTTTTTTTTTTATTTAAATATATATTATTAGGTAATGTTTTACACGGACGTGCACTTTGTATTAATGGTAAGTTTAAACTGAATATTTTTAGTTCTGTTTTCGTTGTTCCACACTTTTGATCACATCACACTCGGTAGGGATTTATAATTTAAGTTTAGCTGCTGTATTTAGCTGAGTTGGGTCGGATATTTTTATTTATATTGGACCTGTGTGTTTAAGTTCCATGTATTTCACTACGAACAATATCATGCATATGCTAATACAAAGCTTTGGGAAATTTTTGGAGTAAATGTGAATCAACTATTCATACTTCTATCAGACGTCACTTTTTATATGGAATACATATATTATATTAATTTATGCAAACAATATATTTTGGAATAAGCAATGGTCTCTGCATTAATATCTAAAGAAATTTATTTAGATATTAATAAAAAATTGTTAATTAGTATTTTATATATAAATTTAATCAATCACACTTAATAAGAATTTTAATTTTAAGAAAATAAAATATTAAAATATAATAAGAAATATTTTAATATTAGCGAGTATATTCAAGGATGCATAATATCCCAGGTAGCACATATTAGTTTCATATACGTTTATACGTTTTTACTTAAATTAATTTTGTCCTACCGGTCTTAATCTATTTGTCATCGGACAAATCTGAGCTTAGAAAACTTCCAACAGTTGCAAAATAAACATTCTGCTGAACGTGGCCATTGAAAGAACATTTATACGTGTGTTCCGTTTTGAAAA